CCACTTTTGAAGCTCACAGAGATTTTTCTGTGGCTCTTCATAGTCTGTTTGGTTCTTAATTCCCTGGATAACTTGGTATTATCCACAAACATTTGTATGTAGGAGTGTATAGCTTCCGGCATGTAATTTATGAAACAACAATCAATGTCAATGTTTTAACAATATTAATGAACAAATGTAAACATAAACTTAATTATCTTACTGCAGCTTGAGATCTTAGAGCTTTGATACATAGATATTTATTAAGTAAAATACAAGTTGACTTTGGATTAACTTAGTACATAAATAGTCGACCCTGCAACACTACAGTAGATCAACACAACAATCCAACACCCAGACCCTGCAACACTAGATCAACATAGCAATCCAACACCCAGACCTTGCAACACTAGATCAACATAACAATCCAACACCCAGACCCTGCAACACTAGATCAACACAACAATCCAACACCCAGACCTTGCAACACTACAGTAGATCAACACAACAATCCAACACACAGACCCTGCAACACTAGATCAACACAACAGTCCAACACCCAGACCCTGCAACACTACAGTAGATCAACACAACAATCCAACACCCAGACCCTGCAACACTAGATCAACACAACAATCCAACACCCAGACATTGCAACACTACAGTAGATCAACACAACAATCCAACACCCAGACCCTGCAACACTAGATCAACACAACAGTCCAACACCCAGACCCTGCAACACTACAGTAGATCAACACAACAATCCAACACCCAGACCCTGCAACACTAGATCAACACAACAATCCAACACCCAGACATTGCAACACTACAGTAGATCAACACAACAATCCAACACCCAGACCCTGCAACACTAGATCAACACAACAGTCCAACACCCAGACCCTGCAACACTAGATCAACATAACAATCCAACACCCAGACCCTGCAACACTAGATCAACATAACAATCCAACACCCAGACCTTGCAACACTAGATCAACACAACAATCCAACACCCAGACCCTGCAACACTAGATCAACACAACAGTCCAACACCCAGACCTTGCAACACTAGATCAAAACAACAATCCAATACCCAGACCCTGCAACACTAGAGCAACATAACAATCCAACATTCAGACCTTGCAACACTAGATCAACATAACAATCCAACATTCAGACCTTGCAACACTAGATCAACATAACAATCCAACATTCAGACCTTGCAACACTAGATCAACATAACAATCCAACATTCAGACCCTCAGCTGTGTCAAAAGTGATAACCAATCATTACTCCCTCTTCCACTCCAGTCTCCCTTCCCTCCCTCACTTCTCTTCTTCTTTCCCTTCCCTCCTTGCTTCTTTCCATTCCCTCCTTCCTTATCCTCCCTCACTTCTCTCCCTCTTTATCCTATCCCCTTCTCGCTTTCCTTAAACTCACTTACTTCCCTCCCTTCCTCCCTTCTCTCCCTCCTTAACAACCCTCACTTCTATCCTTCCTCCCTTCCTTTCTTTCCCTACTCCTTCCCTTGCCTTACGCCTTCCCTCCCCCATAAACCCCTAATAGAATAGACGGTAATGTCAGAGTTTGCCATATGCGTTAATACATTTTTTAATATTTAAAATTTGTTCAGTTTTCTTTCGTAAATTTAATGGTGGACTTTAATATTTTCTGTAAATGACGTAATATAAATATAGACAATGTAGGTTTACAGTTCAGCATGTATATAGACTAGACTTGGGCTGATAGACTGTTCCATAGGCCTACCTCCCTCTGTGAAGAAGTGTTTCCGTACGATCGTTCAGTATGATAACTTGAAGAGCTTGTAGTTGTCCCCTCGTGTTGGTGGTGCGTGACAATCCGTGACATTAACATAAGAAAATAAAGAGTCTGCAATAGGCCGGTTGGCCTGTGCATGGCAGCTCCTGTCGAGAGTTACTACCACTCTCTATCATCCATGAATCTATCTAGCCTCCTTTTGAAACTTTCCAGAGTTCCAGCACTTACTACAAAGTTGCTAAGCTTGTTCCACTCGTCCACCACCCTATTTGTGGACCAGTTTCTTCCTATCTCCCTCCTAAACCTAAACTTATCCAACTTAAATCCGTTGCTCCGAGTCCTATCCTGCTCGGATATTATAAGAACTTTATCTATATCCCCTTTATTGATTCCTTTCACCCACTTAAATACTTCTATCATATCTCCCTGCACTCTTCGTCTTTCTACGGAATGCAAGTTAAATTTCTTTAACCTATCCTGATATGGAAGGTTTCTAAGTCCCGGAATCATTTTTGTCATTCATCGCTGCACCGACTCTAGTGAATTTATATCCATTCTATAATAGGGGCACCAGAACTGAATCGCATAATCGAGGTGCGGCCTGACTAGCGCAAGATATAGTTGCAATAAGACCTCTGCACTCTTGTTACTTACACTTCTAGATATATAACCCAATACTCTGTTTGCCTTATTTCGAACATTAACGCACTGTTTTCTAGGCCGTAGATCCGGGCTTACAAGTACCCCTAGGTCTCTTTCACAAGTCGACTTCTCTAGGTTGATGTTGTTAAGGCTGTATACATTATAAGTATTTGTTCTTCCAATATTAAGTACGCTGCACTTGCTGGTGTTGAATTTCATTTGCCATTTTTCAGACCACCCCTGCAGTTTATTTAGGTCCTCCTGTAATGCATTTGCATCCTGCCCTGAATTGATCTGCAACCTATTTTGGTGTCATCCGCAAACTTGCTTATGTCACTGCTGATCCCAGTATCTAGATCGTGTATGTAGATTATGAACAAGAGTGGGCCTAGTACTGACCCCTGGGGAACCCCACTGGTTACACGGCCCCACTCAGATTTAACACCACCTACGCTGAGACTGGGGTGGGGATGACTTATGTCACTTCATCCCTTTGAGATGTATTAATGTTTTTTGTATCTCAATAAACGTATCAATCAAATCTACGCTGACCCTCTGCGTTCTATCGGTGAGCCATGATTTTATCCAATTTAAAACTTTCCCCTCGATGCCATGAGCCTTAATATTTCTCAGAAGCCACTGATGAGGTACTCTGTCAAATGCTTTGCTAAAGTCTTAGTAAATAACATCGTAAATTTCGTCATTATCTACTACTTCGAAGACTTTCCTAAAAAACGTCAGCAGATTTGTTAGACAAGATTTTCCCTTTGTAAACCCATGTTGAGAGTCGTAGATTAATTTGCTTTTCTCTAGATACGATCGGATGCTATTTGCTATAATTGATTCAAGAAATTTCCCCATTACTGACGTCAAACTGATCGGCCGGTAATTTGACGCTGATGCTGTCTCCCTTTTTGAATATGGGTACTACATTTGCCTGTTTCCACAAGTCTGGCACAACTCCCGTGTCTAATGATTTTGTAAATAAATTTACCTTAGAGGTGCATCCTCTTACACTTCGTGATACTGAATCTTAACAGCCATTCCTTTGACTATTCCTGAAGCTGATAATTTGTTTCCAAGGAATGTGGCCAGCTGCTACAAGGAGCGTGGCCAGTTACTGAAAGGGGTATGGCCAACTTCTGAAACGGGTGTGGCCTAGGGTGGCCATTTCCAAATTTCCAAAAAAGGACATTTTTTAAAATTTTACGACACTTATTTTTAACCTAAATTAAACATGTTTAATGATGAGTTGAAATATAACAAGTTGTATAAAATATACAAAATATACTTAGAAATGATGATTTGTCAAATATCACTATAATGTAAAGAAGGCTATTTTGTGGTTTTTCTACAATTAATTGTTTTTAAAACGCATTGTATATATGTTACATACATGATACATGCATTCATACAGTACAGTATAAATAAGGAACTGAAAGAAATGAATATTAATTTTTACTCCTGCTGGAACAACATACTGTATGCTAACCAAATTAACTTACTTCACAAACTAAAGGAAGTAGCCTATTTACCAATGTGGCCTTCAGTTCCCACTGTTTTAGTATACGTAAGGTAATTTATATAATTCTTTTTAGACAGGCCCAAAAGAGAAGGACAAATTAAGGTCCTGCTTGAAGTGACGCAGGACAGAGGACAGAGTGCTCAAAAGCAGGGCTGTCCTGCCTAAAGCACGACGTCTGGTCAGCCTAGTGTGGCCAGCTACTGGGAGGGGTGGATGTGGCCAGCTCCTGAAAGGGATGGGTGTGGCCAGCTGCTGAAAGCGATGTGGCCAGTTGCTTAAAGGGTTGTGGCCACCTACTGAAAGGGTTGTGGCCGCCTGCTGAAAGGGGTATGTATGGTCCAGCAATTGAAAACGGTAATATAATGTATTTCTTATCGCCTTCTGGTAACAATATACTGTACAGTACAAACACACAAGACACTTTATTAATGGCACTATTTTATGTTCGTCACAAGAAATACAAATAATATAAAAAAATCATTTTTTTTTTTACATTTAAGTTCTGTTAATTTATATAAAAAATAATTCGTTTAATTTCTTATGTAAATCCTCAAATATTATACGAGATATTTAGCGCTGTTCGCGAACACAACAACCTTAACTACTCATGTGTCAGTTGGTGGTTCCTTTCACCTCACACATGTTTAGGAATAGGCCAGCATTTTAAAGGTGTTACCTGAAGGTTTAAAACTGTGTTTTGATTGGTTTAAAGATCAGCGCGCATGCTTACTGGCGTCCTATCGGCATCGACCAGTTGGGGATGATGTTGCCATATAATAGTATTAAGATATATTTAAGTTGGGTTTTAGACATCTGTGAGTTATTCTATTGTGGTGGGTAGCATTTTATATTGTTATTATGTCGTATATCAAGTTTTTATTATAAATAAATAAATAAATATATATATATATATATATATATATATATATATATATATATATATATATATATATATATATATATATATATATGACTGTTGTTTTGGGGTTTTAAAGCGATTTTTGTGTACGGTTGGTAAAAGACTAATAGGTAACTGTGGCAACGTTTGGCCGGCCGTCAAGTGAGTGAGGCAGACTCAGAGCTCAGTCAACCCTCACCGTGTGTACTGGTAATCTGCGTTGTTGTGTGACGCGGCAACACTTGTGGATGTAGCAAGAATTATTATATTACCCGAGTTATTTTATTATAAGGTGTTGGTCGTGTGCGTATAGCTTGCCGCCATATTGACCACAGGAGTGTATCTGGCCAGTAACCAGCGGAGGTGGAAGTAACCATGTCTTCACTGCTCCGAGCTCTCTTCAACGGAACTAGCAAACACAAGAGTGAGTATTTAACTCGAAAAACTGTTTATTAAGACCGTAGGTAAAGATTCACTTTTAATAATAAATCAGTTTTACAATTGTTTTCCGTAAATACAGAAAATTAAAGCCCTTTTCCATTTAAATCTTAGAATTTTTGTCCAGGTAACAAAAATACTCGTATGGTGATTATTTTTAAGTAGACTTTATTTTCTCCGTTATTGTTTGGAAGAACTTTGGTAAAGGTGTAGAAAACGGTTAACAAAGCTGGCGTCCTGCACAATGTTTTAATGCTTAATGATTGTCCAGTGTTTTTATTTAAATGCTGTCTTAACTTGAAGATTAATACTCTTCATAATATCTTGATGGGACCACCTGAAGAATCCCCACCCCCAGCTTATTTCACCAAAATATTAAACCCAACAACGCTAACCTAACCCACCCTAACTTAACCCCATCCCACTCAAAGTGTGTTAGGGTGGTTAATCTTAGGTGAAATAAGTTGGGGTGGTGATTCTTCCGGTGATTCCTTCAAAATTATCCACATTTTAAGGCAAACAATTCCGTCGACAAATTCTCGTTAGATCAAGATTTTAAATTAAATTCTATTTCAGGATTTAAATTCGTTTAAAATTAAAAAAAACCAAACAAATGGGACCCGGAAGTGATAGGTATCGGTTCCTGGTTAATCGGATATGAAGTACGATAATGGTTATCGGCACGTGGTTAATTGGGCAGGAAATAGTAATTGGTTATCGGCACGTGGTTAATCGGACAGGGAATAGTAATTGGTTATCGGCACGTGGTAATCGGATAGGAATACAGAAATTCGTTATCGGGATTTGGTTAGTCGGACAGGGAATAATAATGAGTTATTGGGTTGTGGTTAATCGGCCATCATCCGGTTATTAAGAACCTACTTGTGTTATCGGGACGGCAGATACGATAAGATTATTATTGGTATGTTTATCGTGACGTAACGCTCTCTCTCATCCACCCACCTACCTACCTACCTACCTACCTACCTACCTGCCTTCCTTCTCTTTCACTCAAACCATCTGTACTATCCCTTCCACGCTCTCCTCACACACACACACAAACACACACTCTCCTCCCTTACACACACACACTCTCCTCCCTTACACACACACACACACTCCTCCCTTACACACCCACACTCCTCCCTTACACCCCACACATCCTCCTACACACCCACACCTCCTCCCACACACACCCACACCTCCACACCCACACACACCTCCCTTACACACACACGCCTCCCTTACACACACACACACTCCTCCCACACACACACACACCTCCCACACACACACACACACATACACACACACACACACACACACACACACACCCACACACACACACACACACACACACACACACACACACACACACACACCTTACACACACACACACACACACACGCCCTTACACACACACATATACACACACACACACACACACACACGCGCTCCTTACACACACACACACACACACACACACACACACACACACACGCGCCTCCCACACACACACACACACACACACACGCCACACACACACACACACGCGCCTCACACACACACACACACACACACCTCACACACACACACACACACACCCTTACACACACACACACACACTCACTCACTCACTCACCACACACACACACTCCTCACTCACTCACTCCTCCCACTCACTCACTCACTCACACACACACACACACACCACACACTCACACACACACACACACTCCTCACCACACACACACACACACACATACCACCACACACACACACATACTCACTCCTCCTCCTCACCACCCCACACACACCCACACACACACACTCCTCCCCACCTCCCTTACACACAAACACACACTCCTCACACCCACACTCCCCCCACACTCTCACGCCTCCCAGCTTCTGTACCCCCCCCTCCCCGTCACCTACCCTCTTTTCCTTTCTCTTTTTCGAAACATTTGAGCCCTCCCCCCCCTCCGTCTCCCTAACCTAACACCTAATACCAGTAACCTAACCTAACTCAACCTAACCTTTTATTTTCTTTTTATGAAGGGTGGACTAAGCCGAAGGAGGGGGACTAATCTTCATGTGACGCCTAAACACCTTGTTCTTTGTCAATACTCTTGAACACTTCACTTGTTCTTTTGTTTGTTTGTTTTGTGAGACTGAAGACGTGAGTGACTGTTTTAAAAAGTTGAAATGTTAAGCGCTTGATCTTAGAACCCTAGGTGGTGGTTAGGGCCGCTAATGGGATTGCCTGAAGATTAGCCACCCTCAAGTTATTTTGTCTCGAGATTAACCACCCTAACGCTAGCCTAAATTAACCTCACCTCGCCTTAACCCCCTCACAGGTAGTCTTAAGTTGTTTATTCTTCAGGTTAATTAAGCTGTGGGTTAAGCTTCAGTGGCTGGTCATATGTATTGCATCCAACGCGAACTCCACTTAACCTAGTGTGTGCGCCTGTGTAGTGTACGTGGGTTGGTGTATTGTGTGTTTGTTTACAAGTTTGGTGGAGGTTAACAACAGTGAATGAACGTGACTAGTAGTAGACGAGGGAGACTCAGGGCCGTGTGTGAGGTAAGTCAGCAGCTGATCACGTGAACAGTTTCTCCTTCCCTCCTCCCCCCACCATTTCTCTCACCTCTACCCAGTTCTCCGCCTGTGTACCTTACCCACCTCCCCCACGTCATACTCTTGATTACAAATGTGTGTGTCAGTCAGTCAGTCAGTCAGTCATCCCATTTTATTTCACCAGATTTAGAATCCTAATTTAATTTAAACCTAGCTTAAACCAAACTTAAACTCCAGGCAGCGTTAGGGTGTTTAATGATCAGGTGAAATAAGCCGGACCGCGAACAATATCATTCGGTCATAACTTGTCAATACAAATTACATGTCAATGAATCAATTCCTTAACACATGCTATAAAGTTTTAACATTATTATTGTAGACACAGTAATCATAGCAAGACACAGAACAGAACCACATTTAGCTATTCATCAAATTATAACACCTATAATGTTGTCTTGACTTATATTAAAGAATGTGTAATTATAAGATAAGTAATTCTCATATATGTTAATTATTTGGTACATCACAATCACACTAACGTGTTACGGGTCTAAGGCCAACAGAGGTTTAGATGTTCACGGTATGTCTGTAAGAGGTGGTCTGAGTACATGCAAGTCCAGACGGTCGTCGCCATCCGCAGAATTGTGTATTCAGCAGAACACCAGGATCGCTCAACTGTAAACGCCCTCCCAGCTCGCTTCACTCCCCTCCTAATATCTTCACCACTCTCGTAACTAAATTATATCTAACAATTTATTAACACTCCACGCCGTTTCCCGTGGGCGGTAACACACACACACACACACACACCAGACACACAGATGAGAGGTTAAATGTAGGTTCGATTAGGGTTGGGTTAAACAGGGTTATAATAAGTTGTCTGGTTTAGGTCAAGTTAATTTAGCTTAGATTAGTGGATGGATGGAACAAGGTGCCAAACATCATCATTAACTCGAATACGCTGAATAGCTTCAAACATAGGTTGGATGGATATATGAGCAATAGGGGTTGGGTGTAAACGGGACTGCCCAGTATGGGTCAATAGGCCCGCTGCAGTTTCCTCCATTCTTATGTTCTTATGTTACGGTGTAGAGCAGACGAACATGGGTTAGTTTTACTTGATTAGTGTAGGTTAGGTTAAGATTGTTAGTTTAGGCACACGAGTCTTAATGTAATCCAATATTCTTAGTGATTGAGACGACAGATTAGCTGATCCCTGAACTGTAAACATAAGAGATTGGGCGAGTTGTGACGGTGTTGTTGGCTTCAATATACTGATACTGTAGTACTGTCAGTGTTATCCGACACGGGGGTGATAGATAACAAGTTGTGTAGCATGTATAGTTTATTGTTGTGGTGTAGTGTAGTGTTATCCGAGTCACGTACTGCTTCTTGGGTCATCTGAAGATTAGCCCCCCCCCCCTCAATGTTTAGTTTACCATGATTAGCTTGACCTCTTTTCGTATCACATGGAGATTAGACTTCCCAGTTTACTTAACCATATTAACCTAACCACTCTTCTCGGATGTGCTTTGTGTGTGTGTCTGTCTATAATTGTGTGGCATCCTCGCCTCGCAAGCGAACGGACCTGAGTTCGATCCCCGGGCAGGGTGAAACTATGGGCAAGTTTCTTTGCGCCATTTGCATCTGTCTGCCTGGATGTTAATCGATTTGCGGATCGTATTCCGGGGTAATGGTTAGCCAATGCAGTTGGCGAGTTGTCCGGTCTTCTCGGACTATTCCTCGACACTGGGTCATGCATCTCGTTAACTCAGGGTGTGGTTGTTGTGTTGGCGACAGCTTTTACTCCTTAAACAAATTCACGCCTTGGGCCAGCCATCCTCGTCACACGAGAGGCAACCATTAATTGTGAAGGTATGATCTGTAATTCGCCTTGCCAATACAAGAGATGGGGGGGCAGGTGGGTGTTTTGACGACAAAAAAAAAAGCTGTGGAGTCCTCTTACACGCACACAAGCTTGACCACAGCTAACTCACTTAACCCCGTCTACCTTAATCTAACCTAATCGAGGTCACCTTCACCCAACCTAACCTATCCCAACCCAATGTCACCCAACCCACCCTAACCTAACCTCCATCACCACCACCAGATTTAACTTAGCCCTGGGCCCTCTGTATCACAAGCCACAGCTACTCTCGCCAGGTGACGTGTGACACGCTGGCCGGACCTGAACTTTACCCCGGCTGGAATATTTTATGAAGATGATCAACTGGGTGTGGGAGTCTAGCGCTAGTCTACTGTACGTAGTAAAACAATCGTCACTAATCAAATGGCCTTAATTGCTTGTTTGTTTGGGTGCTTGGTGTTTGTGTTTCGTTTCGATTCTGCATTTGTAAGTTTCTGTTCAGCTGTTTGGTCAAAAATTGACTCTCTCCTATTAGTCTGTA